TATATATATATACTGCATAGTGATTTAAGGGCGATTTGGGGGATTTTTAGGAGTGTTTCTGACTGCATTTTTTGTCTTTACTTTGAACAGTGAACCCTCACTTTACACGGTTAATTCAACCCACAGGGTAACGCGGAAAGTGAGAAACGCGTAAAGTGAACAACATAACATATGGGATTAATTGAAATAGAGACCGGGCCGACCCCCAAACTCCACTTTTTCAGACACAATACCTACGTTGTAGTAAAAATAACTTCTTAATTTTATGATGGTATGCACACACAATTAATAATTAAGAGAAATATCAATAATATTAGGTTTTTTAACACTTACATTAGTAGAAAAGATGACTGGGCACACGGGGATGGGGGGTTGGTTCCAAGGCAGAGGGCAGATTATTGGCCCTCACTTGTATCACTTGTATCAATTGTACTATCCCACCACAGAGGCTTGCAGGGCCTCTTTGTCAAACCCCTCAAAGTCCATATCCTCACTATAATTATCACTATCACTGACTTGGGCCGGCTGTGGTGGGTGGCGGGTGAAGAACTCGGTAATGTTTTGATGACTGGGCGACCTTGTGCGCACCCTGCTCGCGCCGCTTACACAACATGGGAGATGGCGGGAGGTTTGGATCCAAAAATGGCTCGGCTCGCCAGCTGCTCTCCGTAAAGGGTACACTCACGCGAATGAGCATTCCGGTTTCGCAGGGTACCGGTGAACGTGGAAACGCTGAATGGGACCGCTGAAGCGAGGGTTGACTGTATGCACGCTTTCTGAGACTTGGAACCACTACCCAATATCCATTGAAATAATGGATTCGTTAATCTAACGACTCGCTGAACCAATTGTGTTCAGCATTGAGGGACCACTGTATTTAGTGTGTTGCTCGCTGAACCAATTGTGTCTAATTGAGTGATTCACTGGTATTTAGTGTGTTGCCTTTTTTGTAAGATTTTTATTTTTATTTTTTTATTTTATTTATTTTTTAACTTGACCATTTTTGAAAATAAGTATATGATTTCTTACAAAATTTTAAATCCATTTCTAAAACCCTTAGTATCCCCTATTAAAGATATGTACTATGTATCTAGGAAGATATGGAAAACATAATGTGTTGTCTATGGTAGACCCTACTGCCTTTGGCATTGAAAACTGTGACCAAGTAGGTTGTTGATCTGACTTTCTGTTCTTATTTACACACAATTGCAGGTCTCACGTTTTTTTTTTTTAGCCCACCCGGCACATCTTCACTGACTCCAAAATGGGGCTCTGGGGGGTGTACAATAATACTAATAATTAGTTCAAAGTTAAATTTATAATAAAAAATGCGTTAAAAATAAAATAATTATAATAGCAACACTGATAATAATAATTATAATAATATTAATATTAATATATAAATAATAATCATAAAGAAATACAAAAATGAAAAGCTCAATAGTGAGAAACGATGTTTGTACAGCATGTTATGTTGTCAAAGTAAGATAAACAATTGAGACCCTGTAATTGTGTGTAAGTGGCAGAAAGTCAGACCAGCAACCTGGGACTTTGTCAAAATACACATATTGTTTCTCACTTTTGATTTTTGATATTTTGGTTATTTCTTTTGCATTATTATTACAGTTTTACTTCGCCTAACGCCGTTTCACTTTAACGTTGCTAAGATATACGCCGTGCCTTGCCAAAGCTGAACTTTTCACTTAACGCGATTTTTCCACATATACGGTGAGTGTCCGAGACGCTATTTTAGATTTGCCCCAATTCGCCAATTCTGCCTGACTGCCTGTTTTAGCTCATAAAATTCATACAAATTACCAGGCCAGAATATAATTTACATTGCTGAATTCTTATAATTTGGTGATCATTTTGAATATAAACATCATATATTTTTGCTTTAAACTACAATTTTTAGATAAAAATTTTTCTCTAGGTAACTATGGTATCTTTTAGTGCAAAATATATGACATTTATATTCAAAATATTCCTGGTCTTACAAGGAATCCAGCAATGTCAATTATATTATCCTAACTTTAGTTGAGGTATTATTTATTAAAATTTAGTGGTTATCCCACACATCTCCTTGGGACGGTTGGTGGGGGGTGGGGGAGGGAGGGACCGACCGACCATCTGTTACCCTGTGAAGAATTATTTTTTTTATTAACTGAAGATATTTGTTTTAGCTCATAAAATTCATACAAATTACCCGGTCAGAATATAATTTACATTGCTGGAATTCTTATAATTTGGTGATCATTTTGAATATAAACATCATATATTTTGTTTTAAACTTACAATTTTTAGATATTTTCTCTAGGTAACTATGTTATTTTTTGTGCAAAATATATGACATTTATATTCAAAATATTCCTGGTCTTACAAGGAATCCAGCAATGTCAATTATATTTTCTAACTTGTTTGAGGTTATCCACACATCTCCTGGGGACGGTTGGTGGGGGTGGGGAGGAGGGACCGACTGACCATCTGTTACCGGCTGTAGTGTTATAGGGGAGAGGAGTCCATTATTTGAATGGACATTAACTTGCGACTGTATTTCTATTTCTCTTAAGTATTAATTGTGTGCATGTACCATCATAAAATTAAGATGTTATTTTACTACAACATAGGTATGTGCCTTCAAAAAGTGGAGTTTGGGGGTCGGGCCGGTTTCTATTGGAATTAATCCCATATGTTCTGTTAGTTCACTTAACGCGGGACCCTCTGGGTTCAATTGACCAAGTAAGGGGTACAACTGTATTATTATTATTATTATTATTATTATTATTATTACAGTGTTGTTATTATTACTATTATTATCATTACAGTATTATTTTATTTTTACATTTTATATTTTTTATTCTAAGTTTTATTAACTATGAATTATTATTACGGTAATATTCTCGATGGCGTCAATTGAACCCGCTGGAGGTCCGTATAAAACAAGAAACGCAGAATGGAATAACAGAACATATGGGATTAATTGAAATAGAGACGAGCCGAATCAAACTCCACTTTTTCGGACACAATACCTATGTTGTAGTAAAATAACATCTTAATTTTATGATGGTATGCAAACCAATTAATATTTAAGAGAAATACAGTCGCCAGGTTAATGTCCATTCAAATAATGGACTCAACTCCCCCTTCTTCCCACGCGCTGGCTCTTCCTCTCTGAGAAATGTTTGGGTGAAAACACTAGATTTTAAAGTATAGTAATAAATAATACCTCAGACTAAAGTTAGGATAATATAATTGACATTGCTGGATTCCTTGCAAGACCAGGAATATTTTGAATATGCACGACATATATTTTGCACAAAAGATAACATATTTGCTCTGTGTAAACAAAATTCTTGCATTAGATCTAAAATTTATATGTCGAATGCAAAATCCATGATGTTTACATTCAAAAATCATCATATTGTAAAAATTCCAGCAATGTAAATTATATTCTGGCTGGGTAATTTGTATGAATTTATGAGCTAAATAAAAAATTATATCATTCACAAGATATGAGTAGATGCACTGCCAGAAAGTGGGAATTCGGTTCTGGCAGGGTACCGCGTGAATAGAAACGCAGAAACCAGAACCGTAGCGGGGTATTATTATTATTATTATTATTATTATTATTATTGTGTATATACATGGGGTTAGGTAACAGAGATACCCGTGAATGTTAAGAATCCGTGGTATTTTGCTGCCCTCCCAAAACACCCTGCCCCCATGTCCTTATTTAAGTAAAGAAAAACTCTATGTACATGTTTACAAACACTTTATTTAATATTAAATGCAAAGAGCTATAAAACTAATGTACTGGCTGGCATCTCCACTGCCCCTGCTCCGCCTCCAGAGGTCACTGCCCCGCTCTATCTGCCCACATCGTCACTACTGCCGACAACAAACACAAATGTTTTGGAATAACTGCACCTCCACTTCCTATGTATAGTACTGAACTGTACTGTGCTGTGCATTTTACAAACAAAAACGTGGCAAGAAAAGCTATAAAAAAAGAGATAAAAATTTCACTTTTACTGTACCGAGACTTATCCTCGGCGACAGGAGGGGGCTCATCGTCACTTCGTTTCCTAACGGTGATGAAGTAAAGGACGGGTTCACTGCTTCCTCACTGCCACCAGTGATGGATGGTGTTGTATCTCCTTCGACGATCAAAGAACATAGTGATGGGGAGTTGTCGCTCTTTCTTTTCATCTCTTCCATGATGTTTTTGTATGGAGCAAAACGTCCTCCATCCATCGCATGAATTTCAGGGCACACACCATGGAGGGTCCATACCATCGGCCAGGTTTTCAGTGCCTCAATATACCTGGTCATCTCCCCAAATTCTCCAGCATTATTTCTTGTAGCTGATGTCAACACAAGCATGGTTACAGCAAGACTGACTGACTGAGGGAGCGCGGAACGCAGAGTGGCGGGTGGGGCTATGTGTGTGTGTGTGTTGTCACACATTTGAATGTATATTCTCCGCGCAATGGCGTGTTGGTAAATCCGTGTATGTTAAACCCGGTATGTTAAGGGCGACTGTATTATTATTATTACAACAACAACATTTCATCCCCCAGGCCCCGATGTGGGTCAGTGACCTGTGCTCGGGTGGGCTAATCCTCAGAAAAAATGTACTAACACAAACTGTCTGGACTGATGCTGGATTTTTTTTTCCTTTCTGGTGAATGAAGGAGCGAAGCGAGCACCTCAGAGAATCTGAAAAAGTGAATTCGATATATATGAAAGTTCGATTTATCGAATGTTTTACTGTAAAAGTTCAATGTACAGTACTGTAAATCCTGTCTCAATGGCAGAGTGTTCATTTTATCAATATTATTTACTTGTCCTTATGCACAGTTTCATTTCTCATCTTGTCCAAGATTTATTTTGATTTAATGTTAGTTTGACTTGAATTGCTTAAATTACTTTTTTTTTTTGTTTTTATTTATAAGGAGAAATAAATGCTCTAACTAACTTAGTTTTTAATAATCTTTTAGGTTCCGCTCAACATTCCTATCCCTGGGAGGAGGTTGTCATCCAAGTGAAGTGTTCCGCAGCTTCAGAGGTCGGGACCCATCCCCTGATGCTCTCCATGTTCTTTGTGGTCTTAGCCAACCAAAACAGAAACTGCCACAGAGTAACTAGGTCCATTCACAATGTGGTATTAATGGATCTCTTTGATGGATATTACAGTGTTCCTATTGAAAGTCCAATTTTTTATTGTGTTATTTTAGTTGACATACAGGTATGTCCTTTTTGGCATAATAGTAAAAGAACATTTTTAATGTAACGATTGTAAATGAGAAGGTGCATACAGTAGTTTGTAGTTCACTGTATCCTTTGTAAGAAACAATAATGTAGTATTTTGCTCTAAATAAATTTGATGATTCCAGAAAGAAAATTTAAGACAAAAGTAGGTTAGAAGAATGAGTCATGAGTTTAATAAAATAGCCAGATTGTCAAATAAAGATAGATGTAAGAAAGTGGAAGAACTTGCTGTCCATTGGCCTGACTTTCATAACTTCATCCCTGCAACCTATAAATGAGTTAGGACAGGACCAGCTATAAGAATGTTAGTTTATGATAAGTACTTAATACAAAGAAACTTGTACATTATTGTTGTATGGCAAGTACAGTAGAACATTCATGCACTGAACTCCATTACTGTAATATCTCTGTTGTCTGAACTCCCAACAGCCAGAATTTAATTTGTTCTGAATTTTTCAAGAAAATTTCAATTCCAGGTTTGGGAACAAATTCGAGGTTGAAAATCAGGCATTTTCTGAAAATTCCAAGAAAATTCTTGGAAAATCTCAACAAAATTTTATTTCTGGGTCTGGAAATAAATTTCAGGCATTCAGAAAGATTGCATCATGCTCCAACCCATCCCCACATGCCAGGTGCATGGGTGGTCTAGCTGTTTGGATCGCCTAGTTCATATTTTTTGCTGCCATTGTAGAATGTTGTTTTGTATACAGTTTAGGTTGTGCAGTTCTGTACATTACCGTACTAGAACAAAATTAGTACGAGGTTTTACTGTAAACACCAAAGTTTCAAAGTTCATGAAAAGAATGAAAGATACCAAGAACTGGGAATAGGTACTGGTAATAGCCAGGGCTGGTTGGTAATGGTTGCCCAAAAGTTTTCTCCGGTCAGTTTTGATTGTAAGTTCCCTGTACTGATTGAGGCAGATTGTTAGCCATTAAATGTATAAAGCTATCTTCGACTTTTACTCATCTCGACATATGACCGCCAGTCGCATTCAAAAATTTTGTCAAATTACGTATTGAATCCCAACGTTAGTGATTGCTTGTACTGACAAAATTTTCATTTGTAATTCACTTAAATGGCTGGCAAGCTTAATGTGAGAGTTTTGGTGCTGAGAAGAAAAGAGACACCCATTTTAGATTTTCTATGTATTATTTAAGCATTTTGACTCACAACTAATTGACTACTAACTGGATTTGGTCCCCTAACCCCGCCGTAAGTCGAGGAGCAGCTGTACTGTATACAGGTATGTAATGATATGAGGACAATCAACAGATCTAATTATTTGAATTATACTAGCTCCTCCGATTTCTACGACGGGTTAGGGACCCAAATTCAGGTCGAAGTCAAAAATGCTTAAATACATAGAAAATCTAAAATGGGATTCTTTTTCTTTCGGCACTACAAAATCTTCACTTTTAAGCTTGCCAGCCATTTTAAAGTGAATTACAAACAAAAACCTTTTGTCTGTGTACTGGACGTTGGACTCGAAAATACGAATTTGACAAAATTTGCACGACTGAGGCAGGTCATGTCGTAGTAGGTCGTAAGTCGGGAGAGCTGTATACTGTATGCCATTTGTCTTCAGTTTTGTTGTCAGATACATGAAGGTGTTTCATATGGATGAAAGCTATGACTCATTTATGGGAGAAAAGCCAAGGACATTTAGAGAGGAAATAAAAAGTCAGATTGTCTGAGAAATATCTAGGGAAATCATTTATGGATAGACTGAAGGCTAAGATTACTCTGCACACTACAAACTATGCTACACTGTATATGGGGGCTGAAGAAGAGTACATGGTGTACTGATTCATCTTATTTTTCGTCAGGTTCTTTATGTTGGCTGTTGAATACAGGTGTCTCTACTTCATTTAACGAGTTACTTCCTGAGGCTTGTTTGTAAGTCCAACTTTACTCTTTGTAGATACCAAACATATTGTAAAAAATGAAAGATTATGGATATTTACTGCAGTTATACCCTTTTTAATACAGCCTTTAAAACCTGACTCACTCTCTCCTCTTAGGTAATGTTTGGTCTATCTGGAATTTTTCTTCAAAATAAATCCAGTCTCATCCACATTAAGCACCTGTTCTGGCAGGTAATCCCCCTCAGTGATGATGTTTGATCTCTGAAGTTGAATGGTCTTAAGTAGAAGCACCCGTATAATATAACTATTCTTTAAAATGAATGCTATATGGCAGATAATTATATATTTGTAGTAGTTATAATCTCTCATCTTGATTCATAATCCATACCCCTGCAAACTGGAGGATCCAGACATGTACTGTATCCCCAACCCATATAATACACTCAAAATTGGTTAGTCTGGGGAAACTTTTTGTGGCTACAGGGCCATGCACCAGTAGCTGCCTCTGAGGAAACAGTAGGAGGGTTAAGGAGGAGCACCAAATTGAAGTGTCTTAAGAAATGTAAATAGTATACTGTACAGTCAACAGAAGAAGTTTGTCCTAACCGCTTGCATGATATGAGACAGGTGATTTGCAACACTTTGGGGAAGAGTTAACAGATATGCTTTTAATTGGCTATTTATTTATGATTTGTTATTGGAGATTGAGTAAGAATATATTTTTGTGTGCATCTTAAATAGTATCAATGCGTAAAATGTAGGAAAGTGATGTTATTGGAGAAGAGGCGTTATTTTATAATGAAAATATCAAACATAAAAAATACTCATGGGCATCAGCAGGACGGATAGGTCTTGTTCCCAGTTATGAACCATCCTGCAGCAATGGTATATATTTCTTAATGACATTATATTCTGTGACATTTTACACATTGATACTATAGTATTTAAATTGTACATAAGAAATGTATGCTTGGCAATCTCTGATCATAATTTTACATAACTAGTAATTTAAATTACATATGTCAATCCTTTTTCCATACAGTTTTAGTATGACACCTGCCTCATAACATGCAATTGGGATGGGATGAACTTGCCGCTGACTGTATCTACAGATAATTAAAATAGCAGTGAAAGCATGATCCGATGTTCCACCTCGTGGTGGACATTGTGAGTGTTGGACAATCATCTCCAGCCTCATCACCTTCAAGACTCAACCATCTCATGATAAGTGAATAATTAATAAGTACTGTACTATACTTTATCATTGACATGTACTATGTGTTCCTATTTTTTTTATGAAAGGGTATACTATAATGCAGTAATAATATATACAGTGAACCTCGAAGATTCAGATCCTGTTAATCCTGATTTCAGAGTTCAAAAATTTGTGAGGTTAAAAAGTATTCTCAAACAGGGTGAAGGTAGATATAGGCTTAAAGTTTTTATCTTATAAAGTGTCACAGACTAAACTTAGCAGAATATAACATGCATTGTTGAATCTGCAAGACAGTGAATAATTTGAATATAAATATCACAGTTTGCACAAGAGATAAAAAATTTTAGTCCTTTTGTGTAGTACATTTGAGTACGTTTTTCAATCGTATTTTTGGGTAGATGTACATAACTTTAATTTATTTATCATTTACATGTGCACACCATCCTAAATACATATGTGTGAAAAAGGTAAAAGAAATAATTGTCCTAAGGCCAAACTTGTACTCAAATGTACTAAGTAAATTGCTAAAATTTTTGTCTAGTGCAAACTATGGGCTGGTTTGGTATCAATTAATCACTATCTTTACAAGAATTCCAGCAATGGGGTTAAATTCTGCCAAGTCAATTCAGTGACATTTTAGAAGTGGAAAACTTAAACTCCCTCTATTTGACTGGATAACTACCTCTCGCCCGGCTGTCAACACCTCACCCCTCCCCATCCTCCCAGCCAGGGTGAAGGTAGTTTTAGGTTTAAGTTTATATCTTATAAAATGTTGACTAAACTTTGCAGAATATAACTTACATTACTGGAATCCTTTACAAGATAGATAAAATTTGTCCTTGTAGTACTGTAGTAGATTTGAGTACAAAGTGAGTACAGTAATATGTTGCTTCAAAATTATGGCTTTTTCATAAAAGTCTGTATAACTAACCCCAGTGGTCAGGGTAATATGTACTGTATTTTTGGTGTTTTTATATCATTATTAATAGTTTTTATATACTTAGTACACTTTTAATATGGACACGGACCCTGCCAACCCGAATTTCAGTCAAACTGAACCCCCATTAGTCTGGATTAGAGGAGTTTACTGTATTTAGATGAAGGAGAAATCAATGGTTACAACTATATATTATTGTTGATATGATTTTATTATGTATATAGATTTTGTATAGATTTATTTAATAAAATGATTTATTTCATTAACAAGGAACTTCATAACCTTATTACAGTTGTTAGTCATATGAACCCAATGTCTGGGGTTAAGGTGGGAACAGCATTGCTGACACATGGGTCGCTACGCCAGTAACTCTGATCGCCCTCCTTCTCCACCCCTTTTTTCTGCATCACCGCTCTCACGACAGAAGGCATTGTAGTCACCAAGACCCGGCTTATCCAGTTGATGTAATATGTATATAGTACAGTATACTGTATCAGTATTTACTGTTGATGAATGTTTAACTACCCTCCACCTTCTGATATCTGAGAATTATTGACTTTTTTTCTGGTACTTATATTCACTGGAAACACACTGCAATTTGTTTCAATAAGAGGAATTTCTAGTTTTACATCTTACACAGATATTTCACTCAAGTTGTCTTTGGAAGTTCTGAATAAATTTTAAACTGATGACTAGAAGATTTTAATATGTGACAAACTAAGTTACCTGTCTTGGAATCTTTTGAATTGACAACACTTCTATTCAAGATTTAACATCATTTGGGGCTTGTCTTTTTGAACTTGTAACCCAATTTTGAACTTTTATTACAATTTGTTACTAGCTACTCCCCGACTTTCTACGACCTTACTCAACTTAAGACCACCCAGATATAAGGATTTCAGTCATACCAAATTTTGTCAAATTACGTATTTTGAAGTCCCAACGCCAGTGACAGCACTGTGTACTGACAAAAAAAATTTTTTGTAATTCATTTTAAAGTGGCTGACAAGCTTAAAAGTGAGAGTTTTGTAGTGCTGAGAAGAAAGAGACACCCGCTTTTAGATTTTCTAGTATTATTTAAGCATTTTCCTTATCACCATTTTGATTTCACTACCTGGATTTGAGTCCCTAACCCTGTCGTAAGTCTGGAAGTAGCTGTATGGATGGATAGTTGAACATTGCACTGGTAAGTGATCTTGCATCTAAGGCTGATTACATACATAAATTTTTTATTTTGCCTACTGGATCTATTAACTTGATTTTTATATGTCCTTAAATGAAGAATTTGGACAAAGTTCAGGACTGACTTACTTGTATTACCATATTTTAGAGCATATAAAAGGCACTTTCTACAAAAATGGCAAAAAAATCACCCTGCACCCAATCTGTAAGGAAACAACGGAGCACCTTAGCTTTCATCTTTATTCAAGGC